TAAAATGTAGTCTTAAATCATAGTACAAAAATAAGTCTTCAAAATTAGATAAAGCTTTTAGTGAAAGTTTGGTTCATCTAGTAAAGATCAGTAAGATCATAACAAGAAAGAAACACTGTGACTGATTTAAAGTCACTGTAAAGCCATAGTCTGATGTGATGAATACATCTTCTGATTCATTTTCAGAAACAATTATTTGGTGGCCATCATCTTACCAAGGCTTTTCTTGAGAGTGTTAATTAGGGTCTTACATCTTGAACCCAATATTTAGATTAAGCTAAGAGAATGACTTCTGTTTCTAGACAGTATTTTCCCCTTCCATAATGGTAGTTTTGGCAGAATTAATTAGTGGAACTAACAGATACTCTACATGGGAAGTCATAATTTACAAAAGAATTTAGGATCTGCATTTAAGAAATATTCTCCATTAAAACTAAAGACTTCAAAGTTATCCTTTGGAAAAACATTCTAACGTATCATTATAGTACATCACAACATACAACTTCTTGAGGAGCAGTCTCACCTCCAGCAATTTCAAATACAGAACCACCTGGAGGAACATTGCAGCATTCAATATCAGTGTTGTGGTTCCCTCTGAATACTTAGTGCAGCCTTACCTTTTTAGCATGTTCTAATAGGGAAAAACTTATTTTCTCCAACTCTTTATCTGTATTTACCTTTCTTTTATTATGAATGCCAAGCATTATATGAAATGAGAAAAAATACTATTCATACAAGTATTCTTGCTTAAAATAAAACCTTAGGATGGTCTTGAGGATGCTAGTACGGTCCATATTTAACAGCAGCATAGATAAGGAGCTTTGTAGTCTCTTTTATTTATATGGAGTGGGGGAGAAAACAAGAATTACCTTTTCAATAATGCTTACATCATTTTTTGTAAGTCTGAGGCAAAGATGGCATTTATTGGCATATGTAGTGTGGAATGAGCGGAGGATGTAGCACGCCCATCATGAGTGGCTGGCATGACATGCACACTCCAGCCTGAAATAGGAGGAACTGCACAGCCACGCAGGCCTCCAGTCACCAAGGGGTTACAGTCATCTCAGTTAAGTAGGAGGATTTTTTCCTTTCATTTAGTGTAGCCAAAGGAAGCAAGAAAACTCCCTCCTGAAATATCAGCTGCACCTTGAACAAAGACCCAGGCAGGCACACTGGTTTGGGCACTTCCATTAGCTAGTGCTTTGAGAAGGGTTCAGAGTCTTCTGTGAAAGAGAAGCTGAGAGAGGAGGCAGCAAGGAAGCACTGGCACAAAGGGATAGAAGCAAAACAAAGTCTTTTAGGTAGAGAGATGAGACAGGTGAAGAAAGACAGATGCAGGGATGGATTTAAGAGTTCAGTTCCCTTTCATTCAGAGTCACAGGCACATGTTCCAGATTCGAAATCTGGATGAAGTTCTGCTTCCCGGTTCCAACCAGAACATCCTCTGAATGGTTTCCTGGAAGGAGATGGCAGGCTTCATTGCTGTTTCCCCAATTTTAGAAGAAAGGCTGCTCTTTGGCCATAACTTTTTCACCCTAATCCCACCCTGTCCCTAATGTAAGGCTTTCCCTCTACCAACGGAAGTGCTCCCCCCTCCCTCCTTCCCCACAGAAAATTAATTATGGTGCTGCAAGTAACACATTCCTTTCCATAATGCTAGTTTAATGACATTAATTAGCTGAACCAAAGTTTACAGAAGAAGCCATCATTTGAATAAGAATTTAGGATCTGCATGGGGATAATTTGAGAAATGGAAATTTGAACATCCTTTATGAATAAGTTGGACTACATCAGACCTGACCTGTCACCAGTTCGTCATCCTGACTTGAAAAGCTTGCAGGACCCTAGGGTTATTTTCCTTCTGTTCAAAAAGTGACAATAAGGTAGTTAAAAATGTCATTTTGCTTTTAGAGTCTGATCTTGCAGCACTTACCAAAGTGTGTATAATCATGTAAGTGGATTCCCTGCTTGTGAAAGAACACAAGAAAGGCCAGTCCGATTTTGTCTATGGTCCATACTCAGATACCTTGTCTCTGATAAGAGTCTTTGAATTCTCCTGAGTACTCTGCTATCCTCTACTTTCAACTTGAGGTACTTCTGGAGACTGGCATGGTTTGTCTATTTGCTAAAGCTCACTCAGTCTCTTGCTCAGGACTTGTTCCATCTTCCATGGAATACAGATAAACTCTTTGCATTCGTAACATCTTTCCCAAGTCTACAAGCTGTTGCAGGAGAGCCTTTTACGTCAGCCCTCCTTACCTTTTGTTGGCTACCATGTACTCTCATCATCAAGCTTTTTCTGTGAAGACATATGCAGTACATTGTCATGGCTTGTAAAGTCTATAAAGCTATACATCTTCTGAGCAAAACCCCTCGAGAGGCTTCTGTACCATGGGCTCTGTGAACACTGACCTGTGCCTTGTGAAGTAGCACACGAGGAATCTGTGTGAAAAAGATAGACACCTCCACTGTGCTAAAAGAAAGTTCCTCTGCATCTTCTGAGGAGCTTGAACCCCTCTGAGGGCGTTGACGTGCATGTTGATGTGCCCTTGGGAAGCCTTCCCACGGAGAGCCCTTCCAGGCACTCACCTGGAGCAATGGTTTGTTTCCAGCTCAGAGGGAGGGCAGGGCTGTCCCCGCTGAGCGGCTCGCTGCCTGCGCAGAGGCAGGGCGCTCGGCTCCCCGGGGAACCGTGGTTAGATACGCAGCTGAGTGCAGCGCAACTTTAGATGTTGGTGTTGCAGTTCTGCCTAAGCCTTGCTGAAGGCACTTAGAAGTCCTATAATCTTTAGAGGTAATATTAATGAGAGGCAAAAATTGCCCTTGCACTTAGCTTTATAGAGGAAAAAACAAGCCAAAACAAAAGCATGTGTCTAATACTTAATCTACTCTGTCATATTTAAGTCAAATACTTTGCATCTGTAAGATGTTTCAGAACCTGTTGAACAACCTACCACACTCACATGCCCAGGCATTTTTCCCAGTTGATAGCCTAAACCTTCTGCTTCAAAATTTTGTCTTATTTGTCAGGAATACTTTCTTTTGAAACATAACTGCAAATAATAACTCACCTTAATAGTAAAACTATTAAAATATCCGTCAACGATATTTTAACAAACATCATCCTTTTCTCAGATGTTAGACAATCACATAACATGATATCATATGTATCATATGTATCTTTAAAACATTTTATGTTACTTTTTTCTTTTGTTACTGTTTTCTAAAGCCTCTCTAGTATATCAACCTTTTTTTGCTAATGAGAAAACTAATTTCAAATTATACATACCAAAAATATAGAAAAAATGACTGCTGTCTCTCCCATATATTTACCTAGTTTTGCTTAAGAAAATGTGAAACAGATCTTTATGGCACCTTTATTTAATACTTCACAAAATGTGACACCCCTCATTTATGGTCTTAAATAATTTTGCAAAACCGTGTCTCATTTTTCATATCCAGGCTATTTGAATTAACCTGAGGGTAAGATCCTGTTGTCTTCACATACAAACTGTTCAGAGAGACACTCCATGGACTGTATTACTGGGAACATAGAAAAGATCTTTCTAAACATTAGGGCAAACAATCCCTCCCTGTTATCTAAATAAAACCATTTCAAATGCCATTTGCTGTGGCTAAATGAATTTAGATATGCCAAGAAATCTAAGCCTTATCTAGCTGTGCACTTACCTATCTGTGATATGACTGCTGCTGCTAGGTCATTATACCTCTAGGTTCAAATTGTTATAAAACACTATAAAAAATGGCATGAACTGAAAATCAGAGGGAGCTAATGTTATGGAAAGATATGTTACTCTGTACAATTCATCCTGATTCCAAAAGTTTTGAGGCTGCATCCTCTTCATAAGATAAAATGGAATTAATCCTTGGCTAAATTATGATTTCAAATAATGACTGTTAATAGAGGTTGCACATGTCTTTTCAGTTGGAGAATAGATATATATACACTAGCTATATATTTATGCTTCGTAATAAGTGCTTGCAGCCACTTCTTGGTAGGCTGTCACTTCCTTTAAAATGTCTCTTCCACCTTCTCCATCCTCCCCTATTGCTCATGATTAGAGACTTTGAATCATTTTTTAGTCCCTATATCCTTCTCTCTATATACATTCTAACACACATTTTTATTTATTCTAGAGCATATTAAAAATCATTTCAACCAGAGGAAGGGTTTCCTTCTTCCAAAATTCCTTCCAGTGGATGCTCTGGAACGTAGAGGGCTCAAAAGTAGAAAATATCTGTTGCCAGTCTGGGAAGTCTCATGCCAAAACAGAGTAAATGCAATAATAAAGAGCTTTTGAACCTTTGTGTGAGAGAGATGCTGGAGGTAGAAGTGTTCTTGCCAAGGTTGTAACAAGTGTGTGTTTGCTCAGCTCAGTTACTTTTGGACAGTTTTGATTAGGGAGTTCCTTTTCTTAGTCTGTTACCTGTTGACTTCTGCAAGCACAAAGAATTATGATTATCTGTACAAACTTTTCTATCAAAGAATTTTTCTGCAAGGAATGCAAAAGGATACGCTTGTACATTGGCAAGCTTAGGCTCCAGGTATCTTGACATCTGTCTACATCTTTCAGTTTGAAATAATTGATTAGAACAAAGTGAAGTGCGTGTTTGTGTAAAACTGAAGGGCTCAGACTTTAACATCAAGAAGTATTTGAGAGATATATAGGTATTTTATGCTGTGGACATGTGCCACAGTTTCCTAATAAAGAGTACTTTGCAGAATAACTCAGCATTCAAAATTCACACTAGAAATGTTGGCTTCAAGAAAGTTTAGAAAGTGACTTTCGAATGTAAGAAAAAAAATTAAAAAACATTTTTGTGTGTAGAAGGTAAATTAGTAAACTCCAATTTGTTTTAAAAAAGATATTTCATAACACTTACAGTAGATAAAAACACATCGCCACATGGAGAAGTAATCAATTTACAAAGAAAGTGAAAATGTATTTTAATTTTCCTTTTTTTGTTTTCCTTCACAGATCAATAACACGCTCTTATTATCGCAATTCTGTGGGTGGCTTACTGGTGTTTGACATCACAAATCGACGATCTTTTGAACATGTGAAAGACTGGCTAGAAGAAGCAAAAATGCATGTGCAGCCCTTTCAGATTGTGTTCCTGTTAGTAGGACATAAATGTGACTTAGTGTCACAGCGTGAGGTTACAAGAGAAGAAGCTGAAAAACTGTCATCGGACTGTGGTATGAAATATATAGAAACTTCAGCAAAAGATGCCACGAATGTTGAAGAGTCCTTTACAATTCTTACACGAGACATCTATGAACTTGTAAAAAAAGGAGAAATCTCAATACAAGATGGATGGGAAGGTGTCAAAAGCGGCTTTGTTCCAAATGTTGTACATTCATCAGAAGAAGCTGTGAAGCCCAGAAGACAGTGCATCTGCTGAATTTCTAGCATGCCAAAGAGCACATCGGGTGTTCAGAAGATGATGCCAACTAAATAACAGAATAATAATTTTGAAACAATATTAGATCACGACATAGCTGAACAGCTGAAATGGTAATTTGGTTTTGTATCCTTCTGTCTAGGTCATAACTTCATAAAACTTTAAGTGCTGTTTTTCTTCTCCAAGTACAATAACTTTGTGTGGTCTTCAGGAAAAGAAATTACATATTGCTAAAGGAAAAACTAATCCTATAGCAAGACATTCAGAAAGCGCAATAATCATCGTGACAACATCCTCTCTTGGGCTTTGTATTTTGAATACTGTTTAAAATCAAGGCTGGCTAGGTGAGGATCAGATGAGCTCATTCCTTTTGTTCATCCTGCCTTAGTTTTGGATGAGAAAATATTATACCTTATACTTTTTTAATGTGATTCTTTACTCAAGTGCAGGGTTGCTAATGACCATTAAAGTTTAGAATGCTGTAGAATTTAATAATAAAGATAACTCTAAAAGAAAGCAAGCTGAAAGATTGCTCCAATAGCAAACACTTTTGATATGACTATGAATACAAGCCTTACTAAAGAAAAAGAATGTTTTAGAAAAGATGATTTATTTGTATACGAAAATAGGGAATAGAAGCAATGATATTTATTATTAAATATTTTCTGAATTGCCAATGAAACTAAATGTAACATCACATATGATCCAGTTTTTATTTGACTTGTATACAGAACAGATTTCCCAGCCACTGGAGTTACATTTCTGTGGGCAGATCCTCTGCTGGCTAATTACCATAGCCACACAGATGCCTAGGGAATTATGTTAATTTACACAAACAAATTCCATATTAGCTTTAAAAAATAAATCTACTTCTAACTAGAAGTAAAAATAAGTTGAAAAGTGCTGCAACCCATGGGGACCCAGGCCTTAAATTTGAATAGATAGAGCAAGGATTGTTTTATTCTCAGCCAGCAAATGTTAAACTGTTGTCTAAAAAATGAAGGTTTTAAACCAAAAACTATTATTAATAGAGTGTTTGTAGAGGGGAGAATTTCTAAAATAATGCTTGGCTACAGAGAGCAAAGTTGGAGAACCCCTATTCTAAGAAAGCAACACATAATAGCTTTTAATAACAATAATAATAATAGGAGAAATCTGTGATCATGTAGCATTTTACTGAGCTTGAGGTCATCTTCCTACTCCTCTGAATATGACAGTAGCTTTATGGAAACTATGCCCTATATGTCTAGCACTTAAATACCAAATAAGTCTATTTCTCTTTTACTATAGCAGTATAACAAGATGACTTGATCTCCAGAGTTGATAAGCATTTACAATTTACCTGGGCATACTCATAACCACCGAACATCAAGCCAGTTATCTTCATGTAAAGCTGTGTTATCTTGTTACAATCCTCCATTTTCAAAACTAGGCAGCAAGTCTATCTATCTATCTATCTCATCTATTTTTTTTTCTTCAGCAAACATATAATTAGTTTTTCCTCAGGTTACTTCTAGGTCCTTTTACAATCTTTTTGTAATGATTCCATAGTATGGAGACAGGTTGTTTGGTTCCAGTTATTTTATTCATTTAGGGGCACTAAATTATTGACTTCAGAGGGAACTGAAAGATTTATTTTTTCAATAGCCTGAGTCTCACTTGCACTGAGGCACAGTTACACTGTTATAGAAGGATACAGAGGCCTTAACAGAAACAGGAATCAGCCTTAATTCATTAGCAATTAAAACAGTTAGTTAATTCTAGTCTCAGCATGCCACAAAGTAATTGCTGTGCACCTGATTCTCTATTAAACTAAATATAGTAGGCGTCTACACCAAATCAGTTTTGATTTGAGGGCATTTTAGGCCCTCTGTACAAGGTAAATGTGACTACACACGCCGAAAGGTCGTGCAGAATCAGGCTGTGTGCACTGGATGCTGATTCGCCTCTGATACTAGGCCCATGTTGTGTATCTCAGAAGATCTTCTCTTAGTTGTTTTAAGAGGACAGAATGGGCCAACGAATAGATCGGTGGCTGGGGAGTCAACAGACCAAAAGTCTACCACTGGTTCACTGTGTGTTTCTGAGCAAGGCATTTATTTTTTCTGTGCCTCACCTTCTGTATCTCAGAAATAGAGATGATTGTTCTTCCTTGAATTCACAAAGGCTGCTGAGACCCAGTCTGACTGTATGATCTTCAGCCTGGACTCTTTTCTCTGTGTGCTACCTGTTGTAGAGTGTTTAACACCATGAGATGTGGATACTGGTTTCTTCTGCCATACCAAAAAAAAAAAAAAATTAAAAATATGAAAACAGCTTTAAAGTACCAGGTATTGCCATTACTATGAATCTACATTTCATTACACATTTCATTACTTTTAGGTTAAAATCTTTTATCTTAAACTTTTCTTCCTGAATACTCTGGAGCCAATAAGCTTTTCATTCTGTATGAAAAAAATAGGGTGTGTTGGGGGGGGAAGGGATGGGGAATGGAGGGGAGGTATGCACAGAGAAATAAACAATCATCAGAACAGAGCCTTAATGATCTCTGTTGTCAATGTTGTACCTGTAGTGTCACATTTATTACACTGGGAATAGAGCTTTTAACCAGATTCAACTGTGTAAGGAACTGGTATTGTCAATGCAACTAGAAGACAAGTTCACTGCATTTTAAAGTACTGTGCACATAGTTGTCTTATTTGTATTTCCTAAAAATGTAGATTAACATGTACATTCAAACATTGTCTATCTTGATGATATATTAAACCAGTACTTGTACCTTCTCACTACACACTTGCAGTTAATAGAAATGTCTGATAAATAGATGATTTGCTGAAATACATCATTTTGTTTTCAGGTGCTTTGCAGTACAGTCTATAAGTAACAGCTTGAGCAGGCTGTAAAATGGATTATAGGTCAGTGCATGTTTATTCTTTTTTTCCCCCCCAAGGAAGGGCAAATATTGATACCAGAATGAAATTTCCAGAAATTACAGAAATTAGAGAAATCTCATTTGGCAGCCAAATGAATAAGAAATTATTTATTAAGAAAACATCACAGCTTTGCAAATTAAAGTTTGGTAAATCCCAGGGATTAGGAAAAGGAAAAACCTGTTGAAAAAGTAAACAGTTCGTATTTGGATTCATTGGCCTGTCAAATGAACGGATAGAAAGTATTGGTTTGGACTCCTAAAATGTTTAAACTTCCATTGCTTTTATTTTAAGTTCGATAAAGAAGAATAAATATCTTCCTCTACTCATTTAAATATTTTACACATGAATTCTTCAGATATTTTGGCTTGCTTATAATTGCAGCTGGCCCGTGTAAGAAGCAGAACCTAAGCAGAACCTAACCGGCAGAAGCCGCACACCTAAGGAAAAAATTTTGAGGTAGCATATGTTCATATTATTCATTTATGCCTTTGGTATGGAGTAGACTTATTTAGCCATCCAACTGCAAGCTGGTGACTGTCCTGTGGTCACAGAAAATAACACAGGCTTGACCGAGCGCCCAAGTACACTGCCACTGCTCTGTGCTGGGATCCCTTCCGCCACAGCCAAACTGCTACTGGTGACCAAGCTGCCTAATTTAAACCAAAGACAGATGGATGCACAGTGCTCACAGATATTTCAGTCTCAGTGTTTCAGGTCCTCTATAGAATACATGCTTCATTGCCCTCTTTCTACATAGTCAACATCCCGGCAGAGCGCTCTCCCCCAGCTGCAGACCCCAGCACATGACATCAGCTCCTCCAAGACCTCCCTTTGCCTTTCACCCAGAGCTGGCACAGCAATCTCAGCAGCCTCTCTTCAGCCTTGGAGAGAAAGAAGGAGGGCTGAGGGTTTATTCGCTACATGGGCATGGAACCACACCCTAAACATGCTGAACTTCTTAAGAAATTAAATATAAAAACACAGTTGTCAATAGCAAACATTTGCATTGCTCATTTCTCAGAGTCCAAAGACAATCTTTTAAATAAGTGAGTGAAATGAAAATGCTAAAAGAGGAATTGGTACAATATAAATCTCTAAAAAGCCTAATGGATAGGACTGCACAACAAAATAAACAGACTCTAAAAAAAAATAAAGTCCAAGCATTCAGGTAACGGTCCTTTGCTCTAGTCCTTAACTGTATGCGGTAGCACCTAAGATGCCTAGGAGTCTTAAGGATGATAATGGTATCACTGAGTGTGTTTAAAACTAGAAGAATTCAAGCAAAAATTAATCTGCCTGATCCTCAGAGAAAAAAAATGACAGTATCTCATGAATGCATATGTACTTCCTTCCCAGCTCACTTCTAGTACTAATTCAGTGTGTAGATTTAGTGCTACATTCCATGAGGCCATCCTCTGAAAGCTGACTACCTACATATGCTGTCATTTTACTTAGCAACATTTTCTCCTCTGTGAAGTGAAAACAGCTGTGGAAAAGCTGAATTTTACTTTCGAGCATGGCAGAATTGTTTATCGCATTTCAATGAATGTGTAAATCTAATGAAAATAATGCGATTGAAGACATGCCAGTTGAGCATAATATAAAAACAATGAGGTTGTACAGGTTCCTGAAGACAATTTGCCTTGCATAATACTTAATTAGAGGAGGTGTAGCATACGTGTGAAGAAAAATAAGTTGGTTCTGCGAACCCAAAAATATTTTGCTAAGCAGCCCTCTCTAACGTGGAAGAGCCAGCTCTATAGGCGCAGGACTCCACAGAGCAATCGTTTTTCTTCACGGAGTTGCTTGTCCCACAAGCAGCCAGTGGAACAGCAAACACATGGCTAAAACGCATCCAGGAAAAGAACTTGATAGCACCAATCCCCCAAAATATAATATACACATGGTGGGCTTTTTACCCCGGGGGAGACAGGGAACAGTTGTTTGGCGGCAAACTCCACCACAGCACTTGCATGGCAACTCCTCCCATGACGGCCCATCGCCCACAGAGGCCAGACAGGAATGGGGCATAGCAGGCTCTTTATGTAGGGGTGGGTAAATCTTCACTTAAACTCGAACTGAGGAATCCAAAATCCCAATCCCGAGGTGCTAGAATGGATCACCATCTTTGGACGCGTTTCATTCACTCGTTTCTCAGAGAAAGTCACATTTTAGGCTAGGCTTGAGCTGCTCGGGGTTGGACACTCAGTGTGTAATCTGCTGAGAGACCACTGCTCCCATGGGAGCAGTGCTGTAAACCGGCTGACACCAACCTTCAGCAGCCTCACGGGCTACAAGGGCAAAGTAAGAATAACCCTGATTACCTTCACCAGCTGCTAAAGGCCCACCTTGCAGCTAAAGAGCTTCTACAGAAACATAAGAGTAGAAGTAACAAAAAAATTCCATGCATCATAAATAAAATCAGTGCTTAGGTAACCAAGCTGAAGTTCCAGCTATAGTTCAGTTACGGCAATTCCTCGGTGCCGTGGCTTCAAATCTGCTTGTGTGGGGATTGATTTTTCCTGCTCCTTGAAAACTGTGGAGGGACAAACTGAGCCTCCTGTAGCAATAAACTCAGTCACCAGGG